ATGGCCTTCTTTACTTTTGGAAATAGATTGAAAGTCTGAATGAGTGAGATGAGGCGAATAAGACCGATACTCAATCAATTCAAAGTCACAATCATTAATGGCAGCCATGTGAACGCTGCATTGTCCCGGTGAATAAACACACCCAATTTTCCACATCACTTGAGTTTATTATTTTTCTTAACTGCCAAAGAGGTGATGCATAATATGTGCCATTTTTGTCCCGTTTGCAGAAAGTCTACCATCAGAATACCATCAACATCCCAGAAAACGTTGGCCATAACCTTTCCAACTGATGAAACGGTCTTTGCCTTTTTTGGTTGGGATGAGCCAGGGTGCTTCCATTGTTTAGAATGTTGTTTGGCCTCTGGGGTGAAATGATGGACCCACGTTTCATCCATAGTAACAAACCTCTTCAGAAAGTTAGCAGGATCTGCCTCTAAAAGGTTCAGATTGGCATGGGAGAAAGTTCACCTGGCCCCACTTGTATAAAATATCTCAACTTGAGATTTCCTCAAGTCGAGATTTTCCTCAGCTAATATCTCCTTGAAAATGTCTTGTATGAAAATTCCTCAAGGAATTTCAGGACATCTTAGCTGAGGACTTTTTCCTGTTCCTTGAGAAAATTTTATGCAAGCCGTTTTTGAGGAGATATCAGCTGAGGAAAATCTCGACTTGAGGAAATCTCAAGTTGAGATGTTTTATACAAGTGGGGCCTGGTGTGCCTCCAATCAACTGTCAGAAGTCGTGGTACCCAATGGGCTGAGAGCTTTCTCAATGCAGGATCTTATGTAAGAATGGAATACACTCTTTTCTGTAAAATCCTAACTGCACTGGCTATATATCTCTCTGTAACTCCACTGTCCATGGACTTTATTGACCATTTCTGGGGTTGCAAAAGTGACAGGCCTTCCTGGAGAAGCAACATCCCCAAGGCTCTGCCTGCCATGCTTAAATTCCACCACCCAACTTTTCATCTTTTCCTAGCATTGCTACCCTATCAGTATAGATATGGATTTCCTTAAGTGCTAGACCTTTCTGATGCAAATATTGAATCACTGCTCTTTCAGTAATTTTGTTCACTTTGCAAAAGTCACTTGTCTTGTTTACTTTAGAGTGCCACGTCTTCTACATAAACTGACCAAATGACACCAGTCTTCGGGTACACAGTCTTAAATAGGCAGGGAATAGTTGAGCTGAAAATTTATCAATCCGCCCTCGTACATATCCAGAGAATAGGTCAAACTTGGATCTAGATAGATCTCCTCCCTGGAGGATGAAATACAGAATAATACATCATGCAAAACATGTTCAATATATTCTGTATAAAATTATGTTATATAGGTTGAGTGAATTATCATAAAGAGTAATATTATGATAATATTTCATGAAATCAAGATCAACAGACTTGACACTAAAGCACACAGATATGTGCACAGTTTAAACAAACAGACTACAGTTAAACTTTCACAAAATATTAAAGGTTAAATTTTTTCAACAAAAAATCACATGTTCTGACAAGCACATTATACTAGCTCTGACAATTATATACCACTGACCTTGATGCATATTCTACTACAGCCTTGCCATATTCTGTATTCCATTAGCTCTCAGTTTTTCCTTCTTCCTTGATACATATATTCCTCTATAGCCTTGACATATACTGTATTCCATTATGTCTGACAGTTATATACCTCTGACCTTGACACATATATTCCAATATAGCCTTGACATATACTGTATTCCATTAGCTCTAACAGTTATATACCACTGACCTTGACACATATATTCCTCTATAGCCCTGACATATTCTGTATTCCATTAGCTCTGACACATATACCACTGAACTTGACACATATATTCCACTACAGCCCTGACATATACTGTATTCCACTATGTCTGACACTTATATACCTCTGACCTTGACACATATATTCCTCTATAGCCCTGACATATACTGTATTCCATTAGCTCTGACATTTATTCCATTTAGCTTCATACATATATTCGACTATAGCCCTGACACATATTCAATGCAGAATGTCCCGATAATGTACATCATCATGTTCAGGACACCAAAGCAATGTCTTGTGATTCACCAAATTATTGTCCTGCCAGTTCTCGATTTTAATCAATGATATATTAAAAAAATATGTTCTTCCTGTCTGGTTAGTGGCTTTCTGTTATAAAACTGAAAAATTGATTATACAAAAGGTTACTCAAATGAAAGAAATGACATCCATAGACTGTCCTAAAAACAAGCATCTTGTCTGCACAAAAATAATTTGTTTTAGGAACAATTGTCTAAACAAGAAGGAAATTCTAAACAATCTTGGTTTACTTACTTGGGTCGTATTGCTGTTACTGAATGTATATATATACATCATATCTGCCACCAGATCTGAAGAAAACATGCCTATGGTTCTAACTGACAGATAACACTGTTATACAGAAGCTCAAACCACCATGTTGACGGAATGGGAACTTATGTAGCTTGGCTGAGGTCACACTGAAGGACCATTGCACAAATGTATCAGATCATTATGTAAAAATAGAAAACTTTCATTTATTTGAGTCGTTGTTTGATATGTAAAAAGCTGATATGGAACAGGAATAGAAGAATTACTATCAATGAGACAAATCTGCTTGAGCACACATGTATTTAGAAGGTTACAATGCACATAATCATTTTTCTGTAAACTTATGCTAAAATTGTTTTCGGTGACAGAGCCAACACAGATTCGTAGGTAGAATAGAGGAGTTGTTTAGGAATAGAGCACAGCATTTCATGTACTTTAGACCAAAAAATTTATCAATTTGTTATCCTGATGAAGCCCAGAGAAGGCGAAACTGGTTGATGGTTCTAAATAAATGCATATCAACTTACTCCGAAGCTGTTGTGATTGTTTCCTCAACAATGAGTTATGCTAAAATGATGCAATCATACCCTTATTGTATTGATTAATAGTCAAATCAAGCATGCTATTTGACTAAATATTTCAATATGAGCTGTTCCTTCATTGAAAAGAGTATCATGGGTCTGATTTGTAGGTAAACAATTGATGAACTTTATCATTTCTATTTGGGCACCTTTTCCCCAATTCCGAAAACCTTCCATCCATCTACTATTTTGATAAGGTCCTAGCTGTCACATGTTCAAGATATACAAGTTTACTTTTCCATTGAAGCTTTGCCTATGCAGCTCGTCTTATCTGGATATCAGTAACTCTGAATTAATACATATATTTACTATGCGGCTTGTTAGCCATTTTTTGTTACTTGAACTGATAACAGTGCACCATTTAAGTGGTGAATCCCACTAGACTTTCTCGGAAAACTTCTAAATCCGAAAGAAGAAATCAAAATTTCTTTTTAAAAATCCTTCTGTTACATTGTAGTTGTAGATAAATACACAAAATCTGTTAATTTTACAACAGTTATGTACATCATGCAAGTTCTGACAACAGTTATGTACATAGTACAGGTTCTGACACCAGTTATGTACATTGTACAAGTTTCAACAACAGTCATGTACAACGTAAAGGTTTTAACAACAGTAATGTACATTGTACAAGTTCCGACAAAAGTTATGTACATCATTCAAGTTCTGACAACAGTTATGTACATTGTACAGGCTCTGACAACAGTTATATACATTGTACAAGTTCCGACAACAGTAGTGTACATTGTACAGGCTCTGACAACAGTTATGTACATTGTACAAGTTCCGACAACAGTAATGTATATTGTAAAGGCTCTGACAACAGTTATGTACATTGTACAAGCTCTGACAACAGTTATGTACATTGTACAAGCTCTGACAACAGTTATGTACATTGTAAAGGCTCTGACAACAGTTATGTACATTGTACAAGTTCTGACAACAGTAATGTATACTGTAAAGGCTCTGACAACAGTTGTGTACATTGTACAAGTTCTAACAACAGTTATGCACATTGTACAGGCTCTGACAACAGTTATGTACATTGTACAAGTTCGGACAACAGTTATGTACATTGTACAAGTTCTGACAACAGTTATGTACATTGTACAAGTTCTGACAACAGTTATGTACATTGTAAAAGTTCTGACAACAGTTATGTACATTGTACAAGCTCTGACAACAGTTATGTACATTGTACAAGCTTTGACAACAGTTATGTACATTGTACAGGCTCTGACCCAAGAGTTTAAACTAAATAAAATGATAATCATTGAAGCATGATCACACCAAATTTTGTTGATATTGCTTTCAATATAGTGTGTATTTTTAGTCTCAATTATCATACAAGGATGTTATACACCAAAATTAATTCTAAACTGCTGTATATTTTATTTCTTTATAAAATATGATCTCATGTTACATAAATTATTTGAAAAATGAAAAAATATGATAAAAGTCTGTCAATTAAAAAAAATCTGCAATTTGGCAAGATTTTTTGCTTACGTCATAGCAAGAATGTAAAATTAAAGCCATGATTAAAAAAGACTGTTCTGTTATTTTTTTTTCTCCAGAATCATGGTAGTCAAAATCTCAAAAGTCAGCAAAAAAATAATAACAATAAAAACATGTACTTGTCATGGTTAAAAAATAAATTCACAGCATGTTCATACCATTCTGTATTCATTATAAACTATTCCAATATCCAAAGTGAAAAGCTTGTCAAGATAAACTGTGGACAGATCTTTACAAGGTGCATGTTTTCTCGAGTAACGCTATATATACAGCTCTGTTAGGTAAACTGTGTAATACGGTCAGGACACCGCCCCCTTACATCTGCTTTGAGATAACTATTTTGTATATGCAATAACAAGTACAACAAAATAAAATATATTCATATGTATACATATTCTGTAATTATGGATTAGATGTGAGTGATATCTTGAGAAATGTATCTCGTTGTATCCTTTCACTGATCAGCTGCCCACAATAAGATATTACGCCATCTTTCACGTAACACGCCGCGCTCATTTGTTTTTTGACATCGATAAATTCTACTCACCCTTTTATCCATCTTCCTTTTTGAGTTCAAAAGAGAATCCATTGTTTTTGTTCGTACCATTTCTATTGTGCCATTATTCGCACTGTCACGCTATTTCGTCTGAAAATATTTCCCTGTACAAATACAGTATCTCGCTCACCGGCTCAAGTGACAGCCAGTGTAAACTTCACCTCTGACCTTTAGTATTTTGATTAGGCTAGGGCCGCTTACGCCCCAAATTGAATAAATAAACAAAACAGCATATGTAATCAATTAATGATATAACCAAAAACATCAATTTGGGCATTACTTTTTACTTAAAACAATGATTTGGATTTAAAGACGAGATAAGTTCCGTCTCGCTATGATTTTGAAGGATGTAAGAGGCCTTGTTTCTGCTTCGCAGCAGACGAAACGAAACTAGCAGTCAAGACGCAATATTCTTAATCTATATGTTGATTAGATATGAAGCGAAATTTCCAAATTTAACGTAGAACTTATATGAATTTAGCTCCAACATTGAAAGAAATGAAGATAATTGGCGTACAAAAATGTACAATGCAACTATTCAAAGCATGGTTAGCTTTATAACAGGCCTGTCAATATATATTTTTTCCTGGTGATAAGTGATTTTGATCTTCTATATCTTGTAAACAGATATAAAAATCATATTTATGGTATTCAAGATGCTCATTGGAAGAAAGCCACGAGAAAAAGCAACTAAATTAATTTAAATCATTAAACTTGGATACTATTATATCCATATTAACATAATTTGGCAGCTGGATGTTTATATAAAAAAAATAGTGAACGGAGATTGAAATATATTTCTGGAGTGGGTAGGTCATTAAAGTTTCATAAATTGATAGAAAGAATTGTAAAATCTAACCGGGGAGAAGCGACGACTAGCCCTAAATATCAATAAATTTCCTTATTTCAGCGTATCGGGTATTTCAGAAGAAATGTGAAACCATGCCACTATTTGAATCAACAGATTACGGCGAATTGTGGGACAAAACGTCTAACATCAGCGTCTACCACCATCTTCAATTCTCCAGGGATTACGATCACTTTTCGCTCTCTGCACTCCTGGAACTAACATTTGCTGACAAAACTGAAGGCTCAAGCGTAGTAATTAGAATTTGATTGTGTTAGAGCGGTTCCACGCTACTTTAAGTATTACAAAGGAGCGACATCCAACTTCAAAGCCAGCACATCATACCACTAAGCGACTCGAGGTTTGTCTGATGTGCACCAAAGGATCGAGCTAGTCTTCTATTTCATCCACAAGGTGTCGCACCTGGAACCTTTAATTTTGTCATGGAATGTTCCAGAAGTATAGAGAGCATTCAATCACTTGCAATCATTCGTATATGTTAAATTGTACAGAAAAAAGAAAGAGAACAGCATTATATCATTCTTGTAAGCATACATCATGAAATTCACTATCGCCGTTATTTATCAAGACGACGCTGTCTGAGACGTTAGAAACTTCAAAGAGTTATTCCCCTTCTATCTAAAATTCAATCAAACCGGAGAAAATTCGCAAACTACACGAGGGCTAGTAGTGAGCCCATGATTCGAGCTGCGTATCGGTCTACCATTGATGGAATTATTAGAAGCACATTTTTCTGACGTAAAAAAGGTGAAATGAGAAAATATCAGCCACTTATTTCGATTTTTTTCCTACAACGAAATCTTTCCACCAACCTGTTTGATTAATGTAATGATTTCAATTTCCCTATTGTAAATTTTCCATTTCCGGAAAGCAACATACCTGCATCCTCAACCTATGGTGTTTACATGTCGCAGTTGATTCGATATTCAAGGGCCTGTTCCCAATATGACGATTTCTGTACAAGAAGTAGTCGAATGACGGACAAACTCGTAATACAGGATTTCAAATGATGCTGGTTGATGGTCATTATGGCCGGATGAGTTTTACGATGGTCTTAGTGATCTCATTGGGAAATATTCTGTTTGTGCGATATGATTTGCCGGTTGGTTCCATTGCACCTTATTTGAGAACGTAATATTACTTGCTTAGACTTACCAATGTTTACAGGGAGAGTGTCGTCGATGAAGCAGAAGACGTTCTTCGGTATGGAACACATTGTTTCATTCTGTTTCAATTTGTTCATGCATCTCCATATAGATCTTTTTTGTTGTTGTTCATATTTCGCCTTCTTTTTATTCAATTTGAGTTTGAATGATAATTATGTTGACATCTAAGTATTTTCTTTTGTTATCGTATACATTATATATATATATATCAAATTGAAGCTTTCCATGAAAGCCTTCATCAGTTGTAGAAGATGATATTTAGTCTGAAAAGCAAATCATGCAAGATTTTGAGGTTGGTTTAGATAAGCGTAAATTAGACTCGCTTTAACTATCAATAATATGTGTAGTTAAGAATATTAAAAAATAAAATCTACGCAGGCCTCTTTCGAGTACTATAATCAGACGATGTGCAGGAAATTTTACAAATTTTTGTCCCAGTGAAATTTTAGCAATTTTGATCAGCGCATACTTCTATATATTTAAATAAACATGTATTATTAGGCGTAACACTATGGTGGCCTATGTGTGTCTTGCAACGCATCATTTTGGTCATTAGTTTACATACCCAACTATGAGTAAAAGTTTGTATAAACAGGTAGATTTGATGACTATTGATGTAGTCTTGTATTGTATACTTTGTTGTATTTTCAGCCATTATTTTAGATTTTCGTAGAATGCCTTTTGTTGTTATGTTACCACGCCCACCTTGTTTGAATTCTACGATGAATCGTTTCTCATTTAATCATGATAACAGGTGATGACATGTCATTGACCAGTGGGTACCGGTTTAATAAGTGGGACAAAGAATTCAGCAGCGGTGCCTGGAGGTACTCATCATGTTACAGAGCAAACCTTAAGAGCCCTACTTCTTCCTATGCAAATGGTTTTGTATCGTTGAATTTCAGGGGCTATTCTTATTCTTTGAAAACAACGAAAAGTACTACGTCCAACTGAAGGCCGAAATAGCAACTCTAAACACTAGGAAAACGACGGAAAAAAACTTGCCAAGAATTAGCTTTAATATAGTAATTGAAATTTGTGTACGTTTTTATCACTTTTCTTGTAGAAAATTTTCTACGGAATGATGCCATATTGAATAAGCCAAACAATCACCATTAAATGTTTGCAGATTAAACATATTATTTTGTGATGAAGGGTTGAATATCCATTCGTTTATATTTACTTTCAAAATTGATTTCAAGTCATGGTGTTCATGCCAAAGCACAAACCATGATACATTGACAATGTTAAATGTATATACACCAAAATTTATGAAGTTTGTTAAAACAGCAAATCTGTTTAGCTTTGTCGTCAATAATATATATTGACATTAATACCAAATAAAGGTATAAAACACTACATTACTGTATTTGATCGATATAATATTCCAATAGTTATCATTAACCGTAAGTGTTTATACAAAATAGACTTGAAACACAGGATTTTGACAAATGCAGGTTGATAATGACTTTATTGAGACTTATGAACTCATTGAGAAATATTCGATTCACTTTGTGCGGCATGAAATAAGAAATTGATGATGCTCGTTAGTTTCATTGTTTGCATGGTCCTTGACTGCAGTGTCGTCGATGAAGTAATAAACGCTCACGTTTCCAGATAAACTGGTATTGCTCTCAATGTATTTTTAAAGGTTTCCATGTGTTTATGCCTTTTGGTCTTGTCATGCTCTCTTTCCATCAATTCTGATTTAGAATTAACATTTCATTAACGCTCCAGTATCTTCTTGATGTTCTCGTTGATAATGCTTTATGCCGTTTAAATTTTTTTTAGAAAGTGATTTATTCGCATTGACCGAAAACACACAAAATGAGCGTACGATGGACGAAGAGCATATTACTATGTTTATGCATATAGATAAGAAATAGTGACATGGAACCATTGTCATTGTTTATTCCCAGGCTGTGTTTACGAACAGATAAAAACAAAATACAAACACCATGTATCAATATTAGCAATACTTTTGGGACTTAAATATTTCAAGCATAAATGTTCGTTAATACAAATATGATGACGATATCTTCTCATCAAAATTGTTTAAAACATAAACTTAAATACAATTGACTACAGTATCATTGCAAAAAAATCTTTGGGGTCAAAATGCATCTGGCACAAATTCGTGGCACCAAATTCATCATAAAAAGGAAAATGCGATCACATGACTCAATAACATTTACCAATTATACTTCACGAAAATACCAGGAACCTCTATACCTGAATTAGATTTCTAGCAATATTTGAAATGTTGTGTAAGCAAGAATGGATCAAGTAGCAATCCTTTTTATTTCAACTGTGGTTATTGCCTAGTGCACGTATTTCAGTCATCTTCTGTCTCTACAAGAACGAACGAGCCGGAAATGCAACCACGTGAAATAAGGTAAATTGAAAACACTTAAATAGTTTTGCTTGTTTCATTTAAATAATCAATAACTTTTTGTGTAACAGCAAAATAAGTTACAAATTATTAACAAACGTCGATGAAAAAAGTATCTTCTAGAGACAATCCGAGTATACAATTTGTATTGGATGGATACGATGTACAAACTGCGAAGCCATATTCAAACACATGTACAATGACGTCACATAAATATATTTTTATCAAACCGCAATGAATATATAAATTTATCAACTGAAATGTATGTTGGAAATAATGTTCGGCAAATCATTTTTTAATTCGAGGAAATACCAAGGCAATGTTGTATTGTGATATTTGTTTTCAGAACGATTTCACTTTTGAAAAGGAAAATAATAATTTATCTACTTTCTGGTGAGATCGCAGGATCTGAGTCCTGCAGGAAAAACCATTAAGTTGCAAACAACCTGGAAGTCTCGTGTTTCCTAACTTAATAATCTTTCCCATGCGGTTGTGACGCCAATACCCAATCCCCTTGGAGAGAAAGGTTATATTAGTTCAGTTTCCGGATTTAAATAGACACCAGTGTCGATAAATTACCATATATTTTTCTTGTGACGCGAAGTTAGTTCGACGTAAGACTTTATGTAACAATAAATGTACATATATTATGTCACAGGTATTTTTATAA